AAATTATTGTGCAGCCCGGCTGGAGTGGCTGTTATTTGAGTGTTGTCCTGTGCACGGAAAGGTGGTTAGGTGAACAAAGAGGGGAAGGCATTCAGGAAGAAGAAATAGTATGTGTAAAAGCCCAGAGGCATGTAATAGTATCTGTGCCAGTCTCATCACTCCAGCGTAAAATATGTGGGGGAGAGGAGGGTGGGAGTTGGGATGAGAAGGGTACTAGGAGGCAGGATGGGGAAGTAGGCAGGACTAGGAAATGAAAAGCCCTGTGTCATTACAAAGAATCTGAATTTTGACCTAGGGGATGGGAAGGGGCCACCGAAAGGTTTTGAGGTACTATAATCCCATAAAATTTTAGAGACACTCATGCATAGGTATGAAGAATGGATTGGAGAAGACTTTAGAAGCAAAAAGACCCACTAAGGCCTAGGCCCATGCATAAATCCCAGGAATGGGCAAGACACGATGGGCTGGGATATTGATAGACAAGCTGTACAGGTGAAGAGATGGAGAAACAATGCATCCAGAACAATTCCCAGGTTTCTGGCTTGGCTGACTGGGAAGTGGATGCTGTCAGCAACCAAAGCAGAGAATACACAAAAAATATGCCTATGGAGGAGGATAAGAATCCTTTGTTATTCCTGGAGAAACCAAACCACTCTCTGACCATATTTCTCTTTGTATGTAGAAAATAGTCCTGTAATTTTTTATTCAAAATCTTCAGTTCTTCATTACTGACATATTTAAAAATAAATGCACCTGACTGAACTTTTATTTTTTAAAGTAGAAAAATTTTAAACTTTATAAAAAATTTAAAAGAAAATATCTTTGGGGAGCTTTCAAAAACATCCTTTTGGCCCAGCTCAGCGGTTGAGCATCGACCTAGGATCCAGGAAATTGCAGTTTGATTCCTGGCCAGAGCACATGCCTGGGTTGTGGGCTCGATCCCCAGTTGGGGGTGTGCAGGAAGCAGCCAATCAATGATGACTCTCTCATCATTGATATTTCTCTCTTTCTCCCTCTTCCTTCCTCTCTCTGAAATTAATAAAGATATATTTTTAAAAACAACAAAATGACCTTTTAATTAAAAAGAAATTTGTTGTTTTTCTCCATCACCACTCCATGGTTCATACTTGTGCCAGCTGAAATGTTCAGGTAAAACCAGGTTTTTCCCTTACTTGGAAACTTATCACATAATATCCTTTCTCAGAATTATTTGAGTTGGATCTCAAAGAACAGGTATAACTTGGGATGGGTGGAGGTAGTTAGGAATGAAATTGCTTTTGCTATGACTGATATTATGTCCTTGGAAATCTTGCCCATCCTCCTCATTTCACAGATAAGAAAAAACCGGAAGCTATCAATGTAAGGCAGAAGCTTACAAGGAGGCAAAATTCAGCTTAATTTCCAGCAATCAGAATGTTCAACAGTGGAATTGCCTGCTTTTGTCTGGTGCAATGAGCCTCTTTTCCCTGACAATATTACAAGGGGTACTATTGAAAGTTTCTGCAGTGGGAAATTGAAAATGGTTTCTCAGGCCCTCTTGGACTCTGATTTGATTGGCTGTGAGGAGCTGGAGCAAGATATGAGTACATTGTTGAGTAAACAAGCTCATAGGCATGAACCTAAGATGTGTATGTGGCCTTATTATCTTGCTATTTGATGTGACAAAGATTCTCTTTTTGACCAAATCTTATTCAGGCTTCTGAACCTTATCCTAGGCCCATCTGTGCACTTTCTTATAAAATCTAGTTTTAGCAAGAACCCAGCTAAGTCACTTTAGCAAGTGTCCCCGATCCTCCACCATTACTCCATAGCAACGTCTAATCACCCTGGCCTGTCTTCAGCAAGGATCCTGTTAGGTAAGTTTAGCCCAAACCCTTCTTCTCCCTGAATGTTTCCTCTTGGAAAATTTTCATCTACTGAATCCCACCCTGCTCCTTGGCTATAAATTCCCACTTGGCCATGCTGTATTCAGAATTGAGCCAGCTCTTTTTTATTTTTATCCTCACTCGAGGACGTTTTTTCCCCTCATTAATTTTAGAGAGAGGGAAGGAGGGAGGGAGGCAGGAAGAGACAGAGAGAGCAAGAGAAGCACTGATCTGCTGCCTCTCCTATGTGCCCAAACAGGAATCGAATTTGCAGCCCTCTGGTGTATGGGGTGACACGCCAACCCACCGAGCCACCTGGCCAGGGCAGGGCCCAGTTCTTACTGAAGTCTCTTTCCCCCTAGTGCAATAGTTCTGAATAAAATGTTTTTACTGCTCTAATGACTGCCAGCTCTGGTTTTTCACACATCTGGTTTTCAGATGTGTGAAGAGGAGCACTAAGAGTTAAGGCCATACATTTATGTGGAGACCAGCTCAAGGAAAGCCTTGACTACATATAGCTAAGGAGTTTGAATTTTATTCTGTAAGAGTAGCTGTTGAAATTTTTTGATAAAGTGACAAGATGTGTGTAGTGCTTTGGGGAGTGATTTGTAATGAGAGAAAATAAAGATATCAATCCATTAGGAGACTATATAATCCAGGTATTAATAGCAATGGAAATGAAGGTGAACTATGAGGATTGCAGAATCGTAACTGACAGGACCAGACCATTGCCTAGATAAGGTTCTCTTCACAAGTGGGTGCCTCCCCATCTCCTCATCCAGGCCATCTAGCCTGTGGCCCAGCCTCCCACTAAGTAGAGCAACCCTGATCTCACTGTCATCTCCCACTGGGCAAGCCCAATTGTTTCACCTGTAAGATGGCGTTATACTAACACCTGCCTTACACACAGGTTGTAGTTAGGGTTAAATGATTTAATATTTGAAAAATACTTGGAAAGGGGCCAGGCAGAGCATATGCCATGTGTCAGCTACTATTATTACCATCACTTGGAAATCCCACTTCCTCCATGACCTCAATTCTGATCTTCCCCTCTGACAATCTCTATCTTTCCACTCCATGCTTACTGAACCTGCCCAGGACTTGTTGCTGGTTAGATGTAGGTGGATAAAAATGTTAAAAAACTCAGGAGTTGTGACTCTGAGAGGTTTGCAGAAATTTTGAGAGGGGGTAGTTTATGGGAAAGACATATCTGGTTTGAAACACATCAATTGAAACTTTTAAAAGATCGAAGTGTAAATGCCCTGCAGTCTGCTGGAGACCGAACACTGGAGTTTGGAGAGATCAGTACCACACAAGCAGATTTTAAACTTACTTGCATAGAATAGTGGAGGCCTTGGAAGTAAATGGGTTCCAAGGATAACGACACAGAAAGACAACAGTGTTGTATCACTCACATTAAGGAATGCTCAGGGAATGAGAAAAGAGGAATCATGATGGGAATAGGAATAATCAGGGAATTAGGTGAATAAAATGTTTTGTTTCAGAGATATTTTTTAAAAACATTTTTCATGTAATGTCCCTGCTCAGTCTCAGGTCCCACTGAGAGGGTCTGAAGGACTGAGTCATTAAGTCTTACGGGAAGTGAAGGGTTCAGCATCTGGGCAGGGAAGGGGCTAACCCTTCCTGCTTAGGGGTCTTTCCCAGAGCTCCGCATTAAGTGACCATACTCAAGCCCACCCCAAACTGTCCTGCCTGGAACCTCTTATTTACCACATATTATCTGTTTTATAAGACCTAGCTCAAGTTTATCTTCTCCTAGGAATTTTCTCTATTCCATTATTATTTTTTCTTTTTCAGTATAGATTTTTAAGCTCTATCCTCAGAAATAATTTTGTCTGATTTGGGGCTTGGAAATCTGCATTACTTACAAGCAACCTAGTCATGGTCTACACTTTGAGAAACAATCTGTGTAAGTATGTGATGAATGTCAGAGATGAGCCAAAACAATGTTTCATTATAGCTTTAAGAAATTAAAAACACATCCTGGCCCAACCGGTGTGCTCAGTGGTTGAGCGTTGACCTATGAACCTGGAGGTCACAGTTTGATTCCCAATCAGTGCACACGCCCCAGTTACAGGCTCCATCCCCAGTGGGGGGCATGAAGGAGGCAGCCGATCAATGACTCTCATCATTGATGTTTCTATCTCTCTCTTCCTTCTTCTCTCTGAAATCAACAAAAACATATTTAAAAAATAAAAAGAACTACAAAAGAAAACACACCCTGGCCAGTGTGGCTCAGATGGTTGAGTATCTTCCTATGTACTAAAAGGTCACTGTTCAATTCTTGGTCATGGCAATGCCCAAGATGTGGGCTTGATCTCCACTAGCGGGAGTGCAGGAGGCAGCCAATCTATGTTTCTCATATCAATGTTTTTCTAAAATCAATTAAAAAAAATTTTACAAGAAATTAAAAGCACATGAGCTGATCACAATATGTGATCCAAAATTCTTGAGAGGCTAGAGTTCAACATTTCCTCATCTTCTCCATTAGACTTTCATCTCAGCCTTTTCTGTGACTGTAACATCCTTTCACCAACAGTCAAACTAAGAAATCTAAACATGCCCATTGCTACCCAACATACACCCAGTAACACCTTTCTAGTTTTAGTTGCTGGTTTTAAGTATCATACCACACGATATGCTGCACACAAAAAACCTGTCCATGGATATAAAGATGGGAGAGATTGTGTAAATGACTAACAGTCTAGGGTAGTATCTAGAGCAGGGGTGGGGAACCTTTTTTCTGCCAAGGGCCATTTGGATATTTATAACATCATTTGCAGGTCATACAAAATCACCAACTTAAAAATTAGCTATGAAAAAAGCTCCTACATTTATTGAATTTCAAGTCCCGCCTGCAGTTGCCTTGGCAGGGCCAGACCAAATGATTCCGAGGGTCATATACGGCCCAGGCGCTAGACGTTGTTCAACCCTGATCTAGAGGAATATAACAGAAATCCTGAGGAAAAGAGGTCACATGTTTGTGACTGAGAGAGAAATGGTTGGCTGTAAACAAATTTTTAAGATTATTTTTTAAAGATTCTATTTACAATCAGTTTCCTGTTTAAACTAAAATAAGCTTAGGCCCTATACAAAAACACACTCATTCTCTCCTTCTGAAAAACTATTCTGTTTAATAGTGCACTTCATTTATGCTACAGGATGAGCAGGATTGGGAAAACATGAAAGGTCATCCCTTCAGCTGGGAAAACTCCATCCTAACCCAGCAAGGAGCCCTGCCGCCAGGCTCAGACCAGAGCCTTCATTCTCTGGGCTTTGCTGTTTGCATTCATACTCTGCTGTTGAAGTCAGAAGTGGGGTCAGGAGAGGTGTGGCTGCTGGGGCCAGATGTCACAGGTCATAGGTGACAGAGGGCAGGGCAAGCTGGCTGAATGAGCTCCTTGAAAGCATCCTTAGTCACTGGGGGTTTGAATTAAATCATTTTGTATCACAGGAGTGATGAGATGAGAGGAAGAGGGAGAGAAGAGGAAAGAAAACAGAGGCCAATGCTAAATGCTTTTGATCCACTTCCTCAGTCATGCTAGACTCACTGATTAGATGCATTTCCCAATTAGTCCTATCACAACATGGAACGACCAGGGATTCTCCAAAATTGCCAGACTGCTCTCGGAAACTTGGTCTTGCTGCTCCAAAAGCCATAAAGGATAGTTACCAATGGAAACCTCTTTTGCCCCTCCTCACCCCCAATCAAATAACAGATCCCTCAGCACTGCTATTTCCTTATCAAAACTTAAAGCTGGATTAGGAAGTGGCTTCCAAATACAGCCTCCTTTTCCCTTTGTTAGCAAGTAACAGGACTCAGAACATGCTTTCCATTGCCTTCTGTGCTGACTATACTGACTCCAACTAGAGGAATCCTTACAATTTTATTCCTATTGTGCTTCCATCCCCACCTTGGTAAGAAAGGCTCCCTTGGTGTTAGAAATATGGTCTAGTGCAAACTCCCGTCCATAGTGGAAGGTGATTGAGCTTCTCTCTGTTCCCAGCACTTCATCTGCTGCTTGCCTCCTAATTTTTCAAGGCTGGTATTGTTCCTGGGGAAACTGACTAGTTTGCTAATCACTGTGCCAGGATGATTTGCCCAATTTGCCCCAGTCTCTAAAGTGAAAGTTTTGTGTTGGGACACACACTAAGTTGTTCATACTTTTATAGTAAGGCAGGAGCTCTTTAGACTCAAGAGGAAGTGAGAAAAACAGGTGTGTAGCTCTCTTTCATGTAGACTCTCTCATATTTAATTCAGCAGTAACTCTGAGAGAACTTTTGCTCATTCCCATTACGTTCAAAGGCTTCTCTCCAGTGTGAATTCTTTGATGACGAACAAGAGCTGAGCTATACCTAAAGGCTTTCCCACACTCACTACATTCATAGGGATTCTCCCCTGTGTGGATTCTTTGATGCTGAATAAGGCCTGAACTATACGTAAACTTTCCTCCACATTCCATACATTCATAGGGCTTCTCTCCAGTGTGGATTCTCTGGTGCTGATAGAGGTGTGAGCTCTGGCTGAAAGCCTTCCCACACTCATTACATTCATAGGGCTTCTCTCCAGTGTGGATTCTCTGGTGATGAATGAGGGTGGAGCTCCTACTGAAGGCTTTCCCACATTCGTTACAAGCATACGGTTTCTCTCCAGTGTGGATTCTCTGATGATGAGTAAGGGTGGAGCTCCAGCTAAAGGTTTTCCCACACTCGTTACATTCATAAGGTTTCTCTCCAGTGTGGATCCTTCGATGTAGAATGAGAGCAGAGCTACAACTGAAGGTCTTCCCACAATCATTACATTCATAAGGTTTCTCTCCAGTGTGGATTCTCTGATGCTGTATCAGATGTGAGCTCTGGCTGAAAGCCTTCCCACATTCACTACATTCATAGGGCTTTTCCCCAGTGTGGATTCTCTGATGTTGAATAAGGTCTGAAGTTCGATTAAAGCTCTTGCTACATTCATCACATTTATGGGGTCTGTCTCCTACAGGAAGTCTCTGATGTGAAATAAGGTTGGAACTCACAGTGAAGCTGTTCCCAAAATCATTGTATTTCTCACTTCTCTCTCCCATAGGGGTTAGCTTTTCCTCAACTGTCACTTGACCAAAATCTTGTATCTTCCTATGCAGTCTTTCTCCAGAAGAGTCCCCCAGCTGCTTCTTTAGACTGACTTCTTTTTCATAGGCGTTTTCAAACTTAAGACCCTGAGAAATATCCTTTTGGAATCTTCCCAAGAGCATCCCATGTGATCCTGTATCTTCAGAAATTTCTTGATCATGCTCAGTTCTGGTCTCACCATCTGGCACAATACAAAATACAAACATCACTTGTTCCTTGTGGAAGAAAGAAATCAAAACCAGGACAGGATAACCACGTGCATGCCTTTTATCTGCCCAGGCTGTATGCAGCTAAGGCAGAATAAGAGAAGAGGAAACAGGGAAGGAGAAAGGCAAGAAGCAAAATCGAGAAAACAGCTAGAAATATAGAGAAAACTGGATTGTAAGGAGAGAGTGGATCAGGTAGAAATAGGGAAGGGTATGCTGTTTAATGAAGTGACAAGGTCCTTGGAGAGGTTAAAGACTGTAGATATAATTTGTGAGATGGTGACTACAAGAACTACTTAAGAAAAGTGGAGAAGGTGAGGAGAACCAGTAGCAGAGCAGGAAGGAACAGAAGGGCTGAGGTCACTAGTGACCCCTACAGCCCCAAAGTGGAAAGAACATGTTTGTAGCTGTGTCAAATCCATGAAAATAGACAAAAGACAGAGTCCATCTCTGGGACCTAGGCCTAGAAGGCTATGCTATGATGTGAGGATATGTAAACAATTTCCTTATTTGATTTCTCTATTTTCACTGTCTTGGGGTTTCTAAAAGGAACTTCATGCCTGGCTGGTATGGTTCTGTGGTTAAGCATTAACCTTTGATCCAGGAGACTGCAGTTTGATTCTGGGTCAGGGAACATGCCTAGGTTGCAGGCTCAATCCCCAGTAGGGGAAGTGCAAGAGGCAGCTGGTCAGTGACTCTCATCATTGATGTTTCTCTCTCTCTCTCCACCTTACCCTTCCTCTCTCTAAAATCAATAAAGATGTATTTAAAAATAAAATTTTTAAAAATAATAATAAAGGGAAATTTATGCACAGAGAATAAGTATAAAGGGTCCAGATGTTAGCATTTTTAGGTTGTCAATAAAAAAGTATTAGGGACAGAAATAGCTATTTCTCCCTCACCTGAACAGGTACCTTTCAGAACCTCTCTGTTCTCAATTCCCTTCAAACCCAGGACCCTTGGCTCTTCCTCAGCCCAGAAATTATATCAAAATACAGAAATGGGAATCCTGCTCATGGGAAAAGACATGGGACAAGGTTTACCCTGCTCATATCAAGTGGTCCCAGAGATCAATCCCAGACCTAGGATCTACAGCAGACAGAAAGGAAATATCAGGAAGGTCTCAAATGGGAATTTTTCTGGCACTGCTCAGAAAAATGTTTTCACTGAAAATGGGTGAGAGACAAGGACTTAACAGTCCACAGACTAAAAGTTAAAAAGGGAATTGCTCCCTATATCAAGTTAAATTCTATAAGAGCAGCAGCTGCACTAGGTCATGAACAAAGCAACAAGTCCCTAGAGGTAGTCCAACAGAGAAGGGGAGGAGATAGAGTTCCAGAATGTTCACTTGGGCACAGAGCAGTACCTCACATGTTCAGGGATCCCAATATGCTAATCTTTTGGAAAACATTCTGGAGTATATGTTAAATCCTAAGAATAACATGGAAAAAAGTACTGTATTTGGACTTAAAAGACCAGGGCTGCTGCTCACCAGCGATAGGACCATGTGTAAAACGTTTAAGACCTCTGACCTCTCTTTCCTCACCTATAAAATGAGGATAATTCTAGCTACCTCAACTGCTGTGTTACGGTGAGGATTAAATGAGAGAATATATATGAAGCCTCTTTATAAACTGCAAAGTACTGTACAAATGGAAGTTATTATTATTGTTAGAATTTTCTGAGACTAACACAATCCTTAATTATTTTCACTGACTCAACTGTTATTAGTAAACAAGGAAGCAAAGAAATGCCAAGGGAGTTTTATTGAGAAAGCATAACTCCTTACCCAGTGAGAACACATTCCCATAATTTTCCAGCATCACATCTCTATAGAGATCCCTCTGAGCAGGCTCCAAACGCTTCCACTCCTTCCGGATAAAGTACACAGCTACATCCTCAAATGTCACCAATTCCTGAAAAAACACATTCCTGCATGCAATTTCAGGGTGAGGGGTAGGACTGGCAGCACCAAAAAAATAATTTGGGATGGGGTTGAATAACACATATTTGGGAAGCTGGGGAAAGATTAGGGTGGAGAGAGAAGAAAGTCCAAGAAAGAAAGGTCCATTACTCAGCAGGAAGGGACCATAGTCTTGATGGAGTGAATATCGTGGTTGGAGCATTTAATGGGATGTTACTACACCAAAAATGTCAACACAATGGGAAAGAAAAAGAGACTAAGGGGAACCACACCTTACCTGGGACTTGGCCTTTAGGAGTGCAGCTGCCAACATCTCATCCCCCAGACTGTCCTTGTTGGAAAATGCAGGAACTTTGGAGGAAGGAAGAGCTAAGGACAATAAAAGGGTCTATGAGTGAGTCTATCTGCTGCTGTCTGGCCTCTCAACCTTCAGAAAACTCGTAAGGTCCTGGGACAACCTAGGACGCACTCCTGTGACATTTCTAAGTTCACTTCCTCTACAGCTACTAAGGGTGCTTATAACAGGCACATTTAGTGTGGGCCCATCCTAAAGAGAGATGTCTAAAGCCCTGTTGATTCTTGCTCTCTACTTTTGTTCCCAGTCCCTTCCTTTCCCTCCATTCTACTCTCAATGAAACTTGCCCAGTCTTATTGTTAGTGATGAATGTGTTCTTGTCCATTCTCCCAAACTTGGCCAGAAACAGGTTGTCCTGCTCATATCCCTTCCATCATTCTCTGCATCTCTGAACTCAAACTACGGCATTAAGAAGTTCTCTTAGACCAAAGGCAAACTAGGAGCTTCACCCCATCCATGACTGAGGACCTAACACTCATAGCTGTTCTCCATCCCCAGGTCAAATCTACAAATCTCAAAACACTATAAATGTTTCCTGTTTATGTACTTGATCACCTATCTTTTTCTGTAATTCTTAGGTTAATATTTTTATCCCACAGAGGCTCAAAATCCCTAGAGACTAATTCTGCAGAATGACCCAGACAAAAAGGTCCCTAAATGCTTCTCCTCACAAGCAAGGGAATACCCATTAGGAATGAAACTGGCTCCAAAGTCATAAAAGCAGTCTATGAAAGCAAAATACAAATACTTTCGTGGCTTCCTATCCATTTTATCCTTTTGCCTGTGACCTACAAAATGATTCCCCTCCTCTAATGACATGATCCTAAAAGGCACAAACAAGGACTATGAAGTTGGCTGCTACAAAGCCCCTGGAAAATAGAATTTGGTGACTGTCACAGTTTTCTTAATCCTTCATAAGAAATCCAGAGTCCTTAAAAAGACTTGAGCTATAAAACCTATCAAGCTGTACAATAATTCTCACTCGACTGTGAGTTACTAAGTGGCAAAACCTATGTCATAATCATGTCTGGAATCTACTTGTTATCCTAGTACCTGAGATTTCAATAGATGACTGCTGAATGAAAGAATAAAAGAAACAATGAATCCCCTATTCCTTACCACTCTCAAGCAGGGCCTGAGGTTCCTGAGATGCATGATCAGCCTGAGTTTCCATGGGTAAGGCCAGAAGCTCCTGTCTCTGGTCTCCTATTTGCAGGCTGGACAAGAAGCAGATTTTGAGTAAGAATGAGGAAGCGCAGCAGAAGCAAAAGTTCAAGGTTAAAAGATTTTGAAAAAAACAACCACCCACATCCAGAATACAGAGAGGGGAACTAGCATTTTAGTTAGTACCCAAGAACGAGAAGAAATGAGAGGAAATGCAGCAACTGGGACTAGTCTTTAAGACCCTGGTGAATATATTCCCACTCCCTATAATGAGGTCACACAAGAATCACTAAAAGGGCCAAAGTTCCTTGCCAATATCCCACCTTTGGCTCCCCACACAAACAGGGATATCTATAACAACAAAAAACGGAGAATACCAGTGCCAAATAATGATATTAATAGAATGAAATACTAAGCAACTATCAAAATGAAAAGTATCAGAGTAAAGTGAAAAGAGAGTGCACATATAGATTGAAAAATGTGTATGCATCATACACATTTTAAGAATATTTGAGATAATGGAGAAAGCTATTTGTTTACAGAGGAGGAAAAAAATCCCTCATAAACATTAGACTTGGTAGGAGAAAAAAATTTACTTTATTAGATTTCTAGCTGTTATATTAAATTTAGGTGTTATCCTTAGAGGAAAAGGGACCACGAAATAACACCCAAATAACAGAGATCAGAGAAACTTAATGCGTTCTCTGTCTCTCATTTTTAAAAACCTTGGGGAACACCACCTATCTCATAGAACTTGGGCAAACAGCTCTATTAAATTAAATAAGATAAATTCTTCCTCCCCTTTCTTTCTAAAATTGTTTTCTGCTTCCAGTCCCAGTCAAAGGTGGGATATTTATTGTCAAGGAACTTGGGCCATTTTTGTGGTCCTCCTGAGTCTCTTTACAGGGACTGAGTATATATATTCACTCAAATCTAAAAGACTAATCCTAGTTGCTATGTTTCCTCTCACTGAGAAGGTATCAGCCAACTTTCTTTTTATTTCCCTTCTCTCCTAATACATTTCCTTCGGTTAGATTACAAGTCCCTGAAGCAGGGAGCAATACTTTTTTAAAAACACAAGATTACTGATTACTCTGTTTTTATCCCTACTAATGTCCCTAATCCCCAGATGCTACAACAATCAAAAGAGATGTTTTCTGTGGCTCTAGTGAATAAAAAACATTAACACCTAAACTAAGGTTTGGATCTCAAGTAAAAGTTTCCACTTCAAGAATCAAGAGATTTAGGCCCTGACTGGGTAGCTCAGTTGGTTAGAGCGTCGTCCCAACAGACCAAGGCTTTGGGTTCAATCCACATTCAGGGCACATACAAGGAGCAACCAATGAATATATAAACGAGTGGAACAACAAATCGATGTTTCTCTGCACCCCCATTCCTCTCTCTCTCTAAAAAGACCCCCCAAAAAACCAACAGATCTAGAGTAGATGCAGCAGCCACCAGAACATCCTTATCCTTAGACAAGAGCAAAAAAACCCCCCACACCCCTGGATTTTGTTTACACCCCTCTTTTTATTCGTTCATATAACAAACATCTGCTGAGTGTCAACTGTACTGCAAAGCACCATTGAAAAGAGTAAAAAACCAGGAATGCAAACGGTATTTGCTTCCTCATCACAGACCGTTACATTCATATAAGGCATAAAAAGGGGAGGGGCTGGTCTGAGAACCACTGAGAGTTCAGAGAACTCTAGTCTTTGGGCAACAAAGGGATATAAAATGCCCATCACCAACACCATTACACAGTGAAAAGCACTGAATCAGGCATGAGCCAGGCCCGCCAGCTTGAGGAGGGTAACATACCCTCTTGCCACTAACACTCTCCCAGCTAGGTCCTTTAAACTATGTCTCAGAGCCAACCATCTTTTCGTTCCTATCAACCAACTTTACAAATTCGAGGACTGTTTATAAGCAGACATCTTAACAAATCAGCTCTCAGTCCAAACTCTCCTTAGAAAGGAAAATCAGAGGCTCTGACTCCAGAGAAAAAAAGCTCCCTCCTCACAGCTTGGTTAACCAAAGCTGGAACTCAAAGGCATATTGTTGAGAACAAGTCCCCAGTGTCTGGATCAGTAAACAATGTTTCTCATAGAAAGAAAAATCTCCATTGTGCTCCCACAGCTTCAGGTGCAGGCAGGGCCCTTCCCCTGCTCCACTGCCAACCCCTCTCCCTGGAGCTGCTTCTGGGGACTGAGAAAGATAACCGGGTGGTGAAATGTGTCATGGGAAGCTTTACCTGCTGGATTCTTTCTTACCTTCTTTGGGGTTATCTCTAGAAAGCCAGAGCAGTAATTACTGCAAGCCTCTGTTTAAGTTCCTGGGAATTCTGACTTTAGTTGATGCCAATACTGTATGGTTAAGGGGGGGGGGGGGTTAAAATACATAAATTCCACTTCTAATATAACTATTTATAGATAAGGGGGGGAAGAAGACATGTATGCTAAAAAATACCAATTAAGACCACAACTGGTATTTGTGTGGCACCTCTGAAGAAAGCTGAAAGGGAACTGAAAGTTCTCCAAGTCAACCTCCCATTCAGTGTAAGAAACACCTTCTAAAGTTCCTAACATTGTCAGTTAACTTGCTAGATACTCTCAATACTTCAGCAAGGAGTCTGTTCCGTTGCTGCACAGCTTAGCCACCAGAGATGGTAAACTGAAAATCTATCCCCTTGAACCTTCACCTCAGAGGCCTAAGTGCCCTATGGAGCTTCAGTGATAGGATCTTCTTCCACACAACTGTTCAAAACCAAATGATGCCCACTCTCCACAAACATCTCTTCTTGGGGATAAATACCTATAGTTTCTCAAACTAGTCCCTAGATTTCACGTTCCTCATCCTGCTAATCCTCTGGTAGAGTTTACACATGCCCTTCAGATTGTAAACACAGGGTCTGTGTTCAATCTCACTTCAAAAGCGGATCAAATTAGGGATCTAAAACAGTTGCAAATGGGAGCCAATCACAATTGTACCATTCCCCATAAAAGACTCGATTTACAGGGCGCTAGCCAATTATTCCCGTAATCTGAGTTTGCACTCCCTCCCAGACCTAGTTCTAACTGTGCTCTCTTCGAAGAACTCATTCTCTGACCCTAAAACCCACGTAAAATAAAAACGGACCTCCTCTCCTGCCGCGAGAGCGAATAACTATGTGAACCTCAACTAAAAGCGTCTCGGAGAACTATCAAGTTGGTATCGCTGTCATCAGCTGTTTTAAAGAGCGGGGCCCTTCTGCACCCACAGTGTAACTTTTAAGTGCTCGAGCTGGGCGCGAAGTCACCCAGCCAGAACCGGAACCCCTTTCCTCCCTCCCACGCAGGGTACCGCTCAGGGGCGTCCCTGGGGAAACGGAGTCGAGGGCCGGCTGTGGGTGAGGGAGCGGCGCCTTCAGCACCCTGCTCCGGGCGGGCCTGGGGACCCAACGGGCCGCAGCGGCACGGACACCACCCCCTTCCCCGACGACCACAGCCTCCGTCTCACCGCGAGCCCCGAGGGCAGCCGGACTCCCTCTGGGGCCAGGGACGGAAGACTTGGGGGGACTGGACACGGACCGGGCCCCGCTGGACACTGTCACAGACCCACACACCGGGGACAGAACAAAGAACGGAAGCTCCCTTCGTCTCGCTTCCGGGTCGGTCTTTTTTTTTTCTTTTTTCT